TCTCCACAAAATCTTGAGACACCTCTGAAGGTTCAGTTCTCTGCTCATTTGATAAATCACAACCAGAATCTTCCAGCCCAGTTAATGTATTTTCAGAACTTCCAGGCTCCTGAGCCTGCAGCTGGGAAGGTGAGTCTCCTGAAATGGAAAGAAATACAAGTGTAATCTTTCTGTACTGAGACTTTTTAAGCAATAGGAAGTAAATGCAGGCAGGGCAAAACAAAAGATAAGAACCCAAGGATGTGATAAAGAACAGTGAGGGTAATTCAAAGCAGAAAGGCACAAGCTTTCCACATATGCATCTATGTAGACAGCAACACTGTAGCAATAAGATATTATATAGAATTACAAGATACAATTTTATAATATATTATAAAATAATATAAAATATTATAAGATATAAAAACTAGACATTGACTTTTCTAATTTAAAGTGCTAAATGAAGCACATAGATATGCATTAAACATTTTAAAGCAGCACTGTAAAAATTGAATAAATGAAAAACTGAAAGAAATTGACTAGGCTGACTGTGGAAAAGGTTTTTCTCTTTACTGGTAGGAGGTAAAGGTGATTCATCTTTATCACTATCTGTCATTCAACTGTGCGCCATGCTTGAAAGATACAGAGGAGAAACCACAAAACCTGAAGGAGGTTGCCATCTGGTAGAGTCCAACAAGCAATACGGTGTGTACCTAGAGAGAGACTTGTTCAGGGTGCTATGCAAATAGAAGGACCCTGGTTAGCTTAGTTCATTCTGGAAGAGGTGATATTGGAGCTAACTTATAAAACATAAATAGAAATTCAAAGCTAAAAGTTAGGGGAATGGAGGAAGACAGAGAACTCTATATACCCAAAGGGTAAGCACAAAAGCACAGGCTTAAGAAGAAAAAGAAAAGCATTGTGTATATAAGGACCCACAGTAATCTGACATTCCTTTTACTAAATAAATAAATAAATAAATATGGCAAGAGATTAAGATGGAGATCAAGAGGCCAAGTCATAAAAGATGTTTTAAATTGTATTAAGGACCCTAGAATTTATAAGTGTACAGAGAGTGTAATTCAATGCACTTATACATAAAAATAAACAATTTAGATGTGTATGTGTACTTATTTATAATTATCTATCTATCTATCCTTGAAACGATGTCTATAATCACTAGAATCTCTGACACTGCTAGAGAAATACTGCAGTTAAGGTTTAACCTGCTAAGTGTAGATCATTCTTTGGTAGAGATGCCATGAGAAACATAAATAAGGTTGTTGTTGTTTGTCAATGATTATCACCAGTGATCACATCCATAGCAGCTTTGGTGAGTCAGGGAGGTAGAGAGAGATCAGAATGCAATGGCCTGAAGAGTGGAGGGGGAGAAAGCAAGGGAAGAATGGTAACACTTTTGAGGACTTGGATCCGGAAAGTATAAACTGGAGAGTCACTGAAGGCAAATGTGCCTGACAAATTAGGAGAAACATGAGGAATTACAGACTAAGAACAGAGAAGCAAGTGTTGGAGATATGAGAAAATATAAAAATGCCAGGTGAGGCATGGCCTGAGAGAAGGGAGGACACTGAGTCAAGGATGCTAGTGGATGGGTGCTTAGTGATGGGGAAGTTTTTTTTTTCTCTCTGAGGCTAAAGGAAAGATGGGGGGAATGTATAGGAATATTTTTTAAATGCCCCTGTCATATAGGAAGTTAAAGGACATCTCACCTAAGAAGTTAGTTATTTTTTTTAAAGCTGGAGACAGGGGGACACTGATTGAACAAGGCAGCACCATATATTTGGAAACCCAACCCCAGTTTTCAAATGTCTCCCTTCTGGAACATTTTGGTTCTCCACCCAGATGTTCATGGAAAAAAATGTCTTGATTGTGGACAAAAAATTTAGTTTTAAATCTGACAACCCTTTCATGCTGATACCTCAGCATGGCAAGCAGTGTCTCTCAGGCAACAAACAAAGCGGAGAATGCTTTTGTGGCTGGCCAAATGAGGATTAGTGCAATTTTAAAACATAAAGAGGCCATCAAGAGTGCTAATGTCGCTAAGGGTGTGAAAGCGCTCACAAAACAACAAAGGCAACAGAATAAGTAGAAAAATTGCTGTTGATTTGGATAAAGGAAAGCAGTTAGCCAGTGACAGCCTTTAGGAGGCAGTGATATGTGAAAAAGTGAAGATGCCTCATTTGCATCCTGACCTCCTCAAAGACACCCCTGGAACCAGTGCTGAAAGGGATTCCTTTAGGTTATGAGGGATAGCTTGATAAATTTAAGAAGTGTTTATTTATAGATTAAACAATACATTATACATGCACTATACATTAAAAAGGTTAAAACGGAATCATCTGTGGGTCTGGAACAGATTAATTCAATGTACATTATTTCTAATGGTTAAAAATAACTCAGTTTCCAAACAAATCCCTTCTCAAACAGCCTTGTGGAATGAATTAAGTTTGAGAACTGAGGTTCCACTTGTTGCTCTTTTGTCCTTCGGCAAAATTAGAAGTTGATGAGACAAAATCGGAGCTTTAACTTAGAGATCATTCACTTAACAAGTGCCTGCTATAATCACTGCGGGTGTGCAAATGTGTGCTTGCTAATTATCACTATCCTACCTGTACTTCATGTTAGGGAGGAAATGAAGTAAGTTAAAAAAATGTGGTGGTACCCAGGACAGTGAACTATCCGCAAAGTGTCTAATACATGTGGCTATTTCTATACTAAACCAGGCAAGACAGCCTGCTCATTTAAGCCAATGGACAGTTTCTTTTACTTATGAGCAAGGATAAACATTTAAAATGACTTCTCACCACATCCATCTCATTCTTCACAAAAGTAAAGGGAGGGGGTGGTTATTATGGTAATTATTCAGGTAGAGTATATTTTTCTTCTAGGGAATTCAAACCGTTGCTCCACTAAGAAAGTGAACGCACTTTAAATATTTCATTAACCTGCTCAATTTCCCATCAAGGTAAGCTGAATTTCATGGGTGATGATTTTAAGGAAGACTCATAAAATAAATTCTACCAGCTATTAAACTGGGAAGCAAAAATCTGCTTTCTTGTTTCTGCTTTTTGGTCCTCATTGCTGTGCCTTTTGGCAAATAACATCTCCTTCCTGTACCAAGAGGTACTCACTCGAAGGGAGTAGTTTTACCCATTCCTGTGCTCTGGCGTTGGTTAGGGTTAGGGTTAGGGTTTTAGGGTTAGGGTTAGGGTGAGGGTTAGGGTTAGGGTTAGGCTTAGGGTTTGGGTTAGGGCTAGGGGTAGGGTTATGGCACTGCCTAGGATAGTGTTAGGGTTAGGGTTAGGGTTAGGGTTATGGAACTGCCTAGGATAGTGTTAGGGTTAGGGTTAGGGTTAGGGTTAGGGTTAGGGTTAGGGTTAGAGTTAGGGTTGGGTTAGTGTTGGGTTAGGGTGGGGATAGGACGCTGAGATTGTATACAATATGGCTTACAGTGTTAAAGTCACTCTATTGAATTGAATAGAAAACTCTGATGTTCATATTTCACTTTACAAAGTAGTTTCACCACATAATTCAATTGTTTTTCCAACAGCAGCCCTGGGAGATAATGAAATGAGGGCTCAACTTGACTAAGAGGCCTGGGAAAAGCCACACAGTGAGCAAGTAAAACCAATTCTTCAGTTCCAAGTCCAATCATGTTCTAACCACAGCAGGAAAACAAAACAAAACAAAACACACACACACACACACACACAAAAAAAAAAACACAAAAGAAGCCTGTGTTTTTCCATAGCAGCTTCTGGACATTTCCATTATAGTATTCATCAATTTCTATATGTTGTCCACTTGCTTATGAGCTCCTCAACGGCAGAAGTCCTGTCTCTTGCAATCTTTGTGGACATCTCACTGAACAATAACATCACCTGCAGAAGACACCTTATCAGGAGAAATTCTTAGTGCTACCACTTGCTGCTGGCTGTGACAGACAGATCTTCTGTCATCCTTTAATATTCATAATGACATTGGGAGATAATGAAATGCAGGCTCAGCTTCACTAAGAGGATCAATTCCTTTGCAACTTATATCAAACCACGAGTTTATAAATAAGAAAAATAACATAGAATATATAGACAGACGGAAAGAATTTGGCTATTGTAGTAATCATTTAAAATGTCTCAAAATACTTGTTAACAAATAGCCAATAATATACTTTTTATAGAACCTACTACCTCTTATATATAACCAATAACCAATTTATTTCCTCTCCTATTTGTTCTCAATGAAAACTTTGAGGGCTATGAACAGAGTTTGCATTGGAAACCAGCACTTCCATATTAGAAAGCACTCCCTGCCTAATACTAGTGCAGTAAATAATAGTGGGTAAGTATCACTATTGAATACATCCTTATAAGATGGAAAAGAGAAAGAGGAGAAAAAAGCTTTCTAGAGAAAACATTTTCAGTAATACTGAATATTAACAGGTTACAATCTCTGACAATAATCATTAATAATATATTTATTCATACAAACAAGATTTTTAAATACCCAAGCTTATTTGAGTAATATATAGCATGGAAAAGGACAGTAATATACTCTTGTCTCTTTTAAATAAGTCTTACAAATTACATACAGACTCTTCTACTCATTTGCTTGGATGACTTTTCTAATCATAAATCTCAAAGCATGGCTAACAAAACATCATACCCAAAAGAGGGAGGAGAAAATAGAGATATGATACTGCAGCTTTCTGCTGTTCCCATTTTTCCAGGAGAAACTAAGGTGAAGCAGAAGTCTCTCTCTTTTTTAAAAAAAAAATGTTTTAATTGATTTTAGAGAGAGTGGAAGATAGGAGAAGGATAAGGGGAGAAAGAGTCAGAGACAGAGGGAAACATTGATGACAGAGAAACTTCTACACACACCCTTACCTGCAACCTGGGCATGTGCCCTGACCGGGAATCTAACTGGTAATCTTTGGGTGCACAGGATGATGCTCAACCAACTGACCCACATTAGCCAGGGCTCTCTTTTAACTTCTTATTGGGCTGAAGGGACTGAGGACTATAATTTCTCTCCAAGCCATTGGATATGATCTAACATGCTTGTCATTAGATTTGAAAGAGATAAAACACACTAATCAAGCACAGTCTAGCGCACATTAAATGCTCAGTAAATACAGGGTG